TACTCCCGATCTACTTAGTTCGTGTCCATTCTGTGGCATCAATTCTCTTTGGTTGGGAGATTTAAATACCACTTTTAGTTTGGCTGTGTTTCAAGTAATTTGGGCTACCTAGTCTATAAATCCTTAACAAGGAGACTCCGGAGAGACTCCGAGGCATGAACTGGTTTACTAGCTCTTTTATCAACTCATGGTCATGCTCAAAACTAATTCTGGGTCCTGAGCTTTCCCTCTACTCGACTGTCTTAAAGATATCTTACCTTTCATTATGATCAGTCTTTAATTTCTCGGCTACCATCTAAAGGACTGGCTTTCTTTTAGAATTATCAGGTCGTTCACTATTCAACTGTCATTGAGGCAGCAATCACTGTCGCCTTATACAAACTGTAAAATCTTAGTTGATTGCTGATGGCTTGGTTAGTCAGGTTGTTGTTTTTCCCGCTGACATAGACCTAGCCATACAATTGGGTCTTCTAAGTGCTTCCTGCTCGTTGCCGTTTGCAGGGTTGGGGGACAGAAGATACGTCGTTTCTTGAGCTTTTATTTCCGAAGGATTTCTTTGAGGACTGCCCTTCCTCCTTCGATTCATGTAAGTCAATCGACTCTGAGTTTATTTAAATTAACTTCACATCGATTTGCGTATCGGCCGAGTGAGCACTATTTGATGTGTCTCGATTACGCTTTCCAATACTTCCATGGAATGAACCAAGAGAGGTGTATAATTGCTTCTGAATATGGACATCGCCTTTCGAAATGGTGGATAAAGACGAATGACCACTAGAAACACCCAACTTAATGAAATCCTAACTACAGGGTTTATAGTCACCAGAGATGAGAAAAACAGTAGCTCTACAGATGACATGATGTTCATTCACTGCCCCATTTTCAATGCATGCTGTTTTTATTTCTTAGAATGAACTTCAAATTTATCAACCTTAACATCTTTCTTAGTCATACATCGAACTGTTAACCTCTTCGCAAAATTCTTGTAAGTCTTCTGAATTTGAACGTAATCCAACCGTCATATCGCATGCCAACTCACTACTCGTTTATGATAAACAGTAGTCTAATTGGTGTGCTAACTAAGAATCTTCTGAACAGTGTATTTTAAGACGGGTAGAACTAGATAAGCACAAATGAATGCAAAGTATTTGAAATTCATACTGAAACCAGATAATTTGCAAACGTAAGCATCACTTACTAAAGGCACCAATTAATTTTAGCTTTTGACTTTAGTCAGCCAACCAGGTACATATATGCATCGGTCCAAGTTGCTGCACCTCATTAGCACAAGATAAGCGCCAAATTCATACAAGTAGTCGCTTCAATGGTAGTAATGTATAAAGGAAAGATTGTGTACAAGGAGGACGAATTAGTTGGTAGAAAGAACGATATAAAATAATATTAATTTCACAGTTTAAGGAAAGACAGAGTGTATTCATCTACGCCATCGTGATCGACTTTGAGCCATGTCACACAGAGTCTCCAATCATTGGTTAAGATAGTCGCTCAGACCCCAACCAAGTAGCCTGTATCTATTAACATGGCTCAGACCAGAAGTCGGTGACTTCAAGCACTGATGCCACGTTTTGGTTTGGACGCCCCTAACTTTCTCCCAACCGTCTCCAACACCAGTCAGCATAGCGCTTCGTGGTAATCGGTGTTCAGGCTGAATCGATTGGCTCATCACGGTTGACAAGCCCGACCACCACCACGACGCTCGGGAGCAGCAGCGGCCAGGCTCGTGACTTACTGTATTGTCCTATATCTCACATTTACCCACTGCTGATGATCGGAGAAGATTTTCTTTCAATGTTCAGGACTTCAAGTGACACTGTTAACACTTGAAGTTTCTTTTCTCTTCTAGAGTGAATAACCGGACTGCTCAGTAGAGACTCTGAAGGTATTTGTCAAGATAAGTGAAAATATGAAAATATCCTTGCAGCCTAATAAGAGATATCAGTTGATAGATACCTCACGATTCTTAATATAATGACGGTGGTCATGAATTACCGCTGTTCATATGTAAAGGCGATGGTTTGAAGATTCAAAATGAATTAGAGAAACTATCTGAATGGTCTCAAACTAGGCAGTTGCCGAGAAATACTTCCAAGAGTAATACAGATACACACACGATGAATAACATTAAGCTACCTGTTGTCCAGACACACAACGATTTAGGAGTCACCTTTAGCTAGGACTTAAAAACTACTGCACATACAACAGCCGACAAAGGTTTTGGAATTTTATGGTCAATACGTAAGGCATTTAACCATGTCGACGCTAGAACTTTTTAAACTTTCTATACAGTATTCGCGTGTTCTAAACTTGAGTATTGCATACAAGCAGCTAGCCCCTGTGTAAAAAGAACCAATGAACTGTTGGAAAAGGTTCAGAAAACCGTAACTAAGCAAATTCACGGAATAGCGAAGCTCCCGTTTTATGTTTGACTGGCTAAACTAAACCTATTTCCGTTGTCATATCGAGGAATCAAAAACGACCTCATTACTGTTTTCAAATTGCTTAAAATCGCATTCATTTTTCTTTTCTTCCAAAACAAAGAATATACGAGGACACTCCAAAAGAGTTCACAGGCTCAGGACAAATTACTATTCATACTTGGTGCCACATAGACCGAACAATAGTCCACCGTGGATAAATAAAGAAGTTAAGAAACTTCTTAGGCGTAGAAAAAAACACTGAAACATGTTCATCTCTACTGGCTTAGAACAGTAAAGATCTAGTTATTGTAAGATTAGAAATACTTGTAAAGCGTTAATTAGTAGGATTAGACGGTCATACGAAAAACAATTGGTTAGGGATTGCAAGCATAGTCCAAAACGGTTATTCTCGTATATAAAGAGGCGAACTCACTTTTGATACAAGAAAATCCGTTAAGTTTGGCAAGAAATGATACCGAAAAAGCTTCTGCTTTTTCGGAATATTTCAGTAAAGTTTTTTCTACCAATAATGAGGAACGATCACCTATTCATTGTGATTGTGGCGACTTGTTGATGGACCCTGTAGTTATTAAGAAAGAAATTGTTTTAAGTCTACTTCAGCATCTCAAACCTGATAAGTCTAGTGGTCCTGATGATATTCATCCTCGGACTATGAAAGCCCTCTCAGATGTTATTGCTGAACCCTTAGCCATACTGTTTGATATGTCCCTGCGGCAGTCCAGATTGCCCAGAGACTGGAAAGACGCAATAATCAGTCCGGTGTATAAGGCTGGGAGTAGGGATTTAGTTAGTAACTATCGACCCGTCAGCTTAACTAGTGCAGTTGTAAAACTAATGGAAAAAATTATTAGGATGGCTGTTATAAACTACGCGGAAAGACATAATCTTTTGTCAAAGGAACAACATAGTTTTCGAAAAGGTCTATCATGTTTGACAAATCTTCTCATTGCAAGAGAAGATTGGGCTGAGGCAAAAGATCGCAATATTCCTGTAGATGTCATTTTCATAGATCTAAGTGAAGCCTTTGATAAGGTTTCCCATTCTGGTCTTAAATTGAAACTAGAAAGTTTTGGAATTCATTATGCAGTCATAGACTGGCTAAGTGACTTTCTTCATGGAAGGAGACAACGGGTAAGAGTAAATGGGGCTCTCTCATCGTGGGAACCAGTAAAAAGCGGCGTCCCCCAAGGCACGATTTTAGGTCCTCTTCTCTTTTTACTTTATATAAATAAATTACCAGCTATAGCTAAGTCATCCGTCCTACTATTCGCCGATGACATTAAGATTTGGAGACCCATATGTAGTATGTCAGACAGAATAGTTTTACAGGAAGATCTTAACTCATTAGTGGAATGGATGAATGGGTGGTCACAAGAGGTAAACCATAATAAAAGTGTTGTGATGCAATTAAATAACTACGATGATTCGTATCACTACACAATATGTGGACTAGTGTTGCCCAAAGTAAGAAACTATAAAGATTTAGGAGTCATACTAAGTAATGATCTCAAAACAACCAGTCACTGTAAGGCTGCTGCTGCAAAAGGCTATAGGGTATTATGGTCTATTCGTAGATCTTTCCGGTATCTGAATGGGGAAATGTTTAGATTATTATACCCAACTTTCGTACGGCCACATTTGGAATATGGGATTCAAGCAGCGAGTCCTTGTTTCAAATATGAAGCGGATATGTTGGAACGAGTCCAACGCCGCGGGACAAAAATGGTAAAAGGCCTATCTAGCCTATCTTATGAAGACAGACTGAGACACCTCAACTTATTTCCGTTATCTTACCGGCGAATACGGGTGATCTAATATTGACATATCGTATCCTGAACGATGACCTTGGTACTAACATGTCCTATCTTTTCCTCCCGTCTAGGGCTGATCATTTGAGAGGACATTCAAAGAAAGTCCAAAAACCGAAATGAAATCGTCTACGTCTGGAGTTTCGTTTCTCGCACCGAGTAGTGAATTACTGGAATTCTCTACCAGAACACGTAATATCAGCACCTTCTGTTGGTATATTCAAGACGAGATTGGACCTCCACAGTGCAACAAACTGCAAGGATTAAAATAGGTCACTAGACCTTCTATCCTTATTACCGAAGACTGACTATCGACTTTCCCATCAAATCATCAACGAGTGGAATTCATTACCTCAACACATGATTGAAGCTCTATCTTTCGACCCTTTCAAAAGACAGTTGGATCAACTGAGAGATCATCATTGCCAGGACTAACACAGGCCACATGGCCTCTTGTCCCTTCCAAACGGAAACTGAAATACTTAATTTCTCGTATAAACTTTTCAAAACGTTTTACTTGTCACATGTTTGCTTACTTTGGTTAAATTTAAAACATGGGTTATTTTCAAGTTGAAAGACATCTTATACATCAAAACATGAATAAAAATAAGATGTTTATTTTTGCTCAACGGGTACTTTTAATTGACCTTCAGACTGAAAATCAGAAGACGCACAAATCCGAATTCGGTAGGGAGTTGCGTGTTTATTGTCCTTACTGCATATATCTCCAAACATGGTACGTGAAATTTTTTTCTTATTATCATCAATTAGTCTTCAGGCATTAAACCCTCAGCAAAATGTGAGGCCACGTATAAAGAGATGAAAATGAACCACTGTTACCGCTATGTCTTGTTTCAAATTATTGATAATGAAATAAGTGTAATCAAAATTGCTCCCAGAGGTTGTTTTCAATTTAATTTAATTTATTCGCTTAGATGAAACTATGTCACAATTTAAAGATGAAGTTTCAAAGTACCAAAACAAGGGTTGTTATGGTGTAGTAGACTACGAATGTGAAGGTGGTAAAGGGGCGAACTTAATATACTTCTCATTGTATGAAGTCATTTATGTCTCCTAATTCAATATTTTAGAGTGTCCGACTCTGCACCCCCCACAGCAAGGATGTTATATGCGACAACGCGAAAGTCGCTGTCTTCGTGTTTGGACGGGTTAAAAGCTGATATTGAAGCTCACGACATCAATGAACTTATGGAGAAATTAGAAACCAGTGCAGCTGCGGATAAAAACCACTCTAAACATTAGCAATGTTATAAGACCATCTTTTAAGTCTGATACAATGCTGTAAAGTAAAAAAAGATTTTAATGTGTATTCTGCTTGCTGACTTCACAAATCGTCTTAAAATACAAGTCGGTTTTTTCTATGACATTTATCTTATTAATTGAGTAATCTATGAGTGGAAATGTAAGTTTCTACATTCTCACCGTGATTTTTTCTTTTTCTTGGTTATTTTGTCTCTCTGACATTCCCCAAATGACTAACTTGGTTGACCCGCCAGTATTGATAGCATGTTGTATTTTGAGATAAGTTTTTTGTTATGTTTAGATTTAAGTTTGTGGGTCCATGTTTTTTTGACGATTAAGTAACCATCTGATTATTTTTAGTACATTTCATTTTGACACATGGACCTGAATACCTGTCCGTCTAATTGATTCTTAGTTTTGGGATAGCTGTCACTAAAAAATGACTTCTGGGATCGGAAGCACTAAATCTTTAGTTCAAATGTAATTTGTAATTACTCTGGTTCTCGAAGTGGTAATTTCAGTCGTTGGTGTTCTTCGCGGAATCCGATCCTCTATCTTTATTTTTGTCCACATGTCATTTCATTTGCTGTGATTTTGGTTTCGAAAGTACAGCTTTTTCGATAATTAAAGTTTCATATATTTTAATTTCAAGTTGGCGTCTTATTACCAATTGTTCAGAAACATTGTTATCTTTGCCTTTCCAAGAATCCCGCAACAAATTGAACGCAACACTAAAGAAATCTAAACGTAATTGTTTATACATCTGGTCAAGAATACTCTCCACTTCAGACATGGGTTTCATGAAAAAAAGATTGACGTTCAATGAAGCTTTACTAAAGATGACACCTGGATCGACATCAGGCGAACTTCTCACTAGACCAGAAACAAGCTGATAGGATAAGGTCTATGTTACCGTAAATACGCACCGGTTAACATTTGTAGGTTCTGCAGAGACGGGTGCGTCTGTTTCGGAATGCATTTTCTGTTCCATGATATTGTAAGATGACACTGGTGTTTTTTGATGACGATCATGTTGGTCTCTGAAAAATCAATCCGCTGTCCATTATAACCTAAGTAAGATCCTACTTAAGTGGACAGTTTGGCTATAGCTTCCATGGTTTTTAAAAACATCAGCACAACCCTACCTGAGGTTTGTGCTGTTGATGTTTGGAAGGACAATGAAAGCTGCACGACCGGACTACCCAGCTCGGAGAACAAAACAAGTATTTAAGTAAACAATCTGGACTGAAGATTAAGATTACTTGAAGGGCTCCAATTATAGACCTGCCACGTGATCTAGTTTGATAATTTCCACAATGTATGTCCTACCCTCCTTCAGAGTCATTCCCTAATTTCTTATTCAGCTGGAAGCTGATTTGTTCCTTTCTACAGTAGGCTGTTGCTGATGATATCCACCCAACAGATATTGCGTATCTTGCACAGACAACTGTAGTGTACTGCCTCTGGAGTCCTCACACTTACTAAGATCTTTCAGTATTTTGATTAGTTATCCTTTCCAGTCCGTCGGCACTTGTTCTTCATCCCAAATCTTTCTGAAGAGAAAGTGAAGCATACTTGCAGTTACTTCTATGTCTGACTTCAGTGTTTCGGCTGGTATACTGTCAGGTCCAGCTGCTCTCCCACTATTGTCTGATGGACGTGCTAATTTTTTCGATTGTTGGTGAAATTATATCTATTAGATGGTTTGTGTATGCTGCTTCGATGTTCGATGGATTCACTTGGGCTAGCCTATTCAAGAGTTCTTCAAAGTGCTTCACCCACCTATTCTCCTGTTCTTGAATCTCAGTGAATGACTTGTCTTCTTTGTCCTTGACCGGTCTTTCTGGTTTACCATATTCTTCTGTTAGTTTCTTCGTTGTGTCGTATAGTTGTTTGATATTTTCTTACCTTGCGGCTTTTTAAGCTACCGCTGCTAGGTGTTCGACCTATTTCTACTTGTCAGCTCTAGTTCCCCTCAATTGTCTGTTTTCTTTTATGCATTCAGTTTGTGCCTCAACTATCTCCGCTTTTGTTCGTCTATTGCTGGTTGCTGTCTTTTTGTTCTTCCTTGCTTGAATCCTGCTCAGAGTTTCGATAGATATTCATTCCTTCTTATGACGCTCCCTGCGACCCAGAACATCCCGTTACTTTGAAGTTAGTGCTTCTTTTGTCCCTTTCCAGTTGTTTTGCATAGTAGTAGATCATGCAAAGCTTGGAAACTGATACTCAGAGCTATCGTGAATTCGTTGATTTAGTCAGTATCTGGAATAAAGGCTGTATTAAACCCTTACAATGTTGTTCCTCCAGTTTCCTAGCATTTCTTCAGTTTCATTTTGGAAACCACCAGATGGTATCTTAGGTGATATCAGTTCCTTCTTTTGTTTTCACGTCTTCCATGAATCTCCTGAATTTTTTACTGATATAAATATGATCGATCTTGTTCTCTATAGTGTGATCCGGTGAGATTCATGTAGCTTTGTGTATGCGTTCTCGGGGTAATGCAGCGCCACATTTTGTTGAGTGTACATAAATCTGCAAATCTCTCGCTAATGCCGCTTCTTTCTCCCAGTCCATGTCGTTCTATGATATCCTCATACTCGGTGTTGTACATTCCGACTAACGCTAGAAAATTTTTAAAACTGATCGGGTAAACAGGTATTAAGAAGACAGGGGATCGTGAGACTGTCTCTGAATCAGACAGAACTATTATTCACTCAGTCTAGCAGATTAGACCAATAAGCAGAATACTTTAAGAAGCAGCTCAACTGGCCTCCAGTCACCCATTATCTTTAAAAAGCCAGAATGAGAAATTGACGCTGCACACCCAACTCTTAGTGGGGTTCAAAGACTATAGATGATCTAAAGCTCGAGGACAGCAGGCCCTGATGGACTAACACTGGTGATCTTTAAGAACGGTTCAGTTTTAGCTGTTTGAGTGACTGAGATACTAAAAAGTATTATAGAATTGGACGTAATTCCATCTGACTTCTAGATAACCGATCATTCCAGTGAGAGTATATATCATCTGACAACAACTACAGAGGGATCAGTTTAACTGGTTTTACCTAGATTTACCTGACGCTTAAATAGGACCCGCGAAGAGCAAATCCTTCAAAATCAGGGTAGCTTTACATTCGTGCTTGAATGTATTGACCAAACATTCACACTTCATCAGTTTTAGAAGGGAGATATACCGAAATCAAACTGTAATTGTATTTCTTAACATCAAGGCACTACCTTACTATGTTAACCAAAAGGGTTGACCATTTAAAGGCAGACAAAGACTTACGTAAACCTTGTAAGACTCTTCTCGGACACTGTTTCTCAGATCAGAACTTCCAGACTATCAACTCTAAACTTCCTCCTCAAGTGTCACCATTGTCAACGAATCTATTGCGCGAAATACTGTCCCAAATCTGCTGGAACCTCGCTCAAAACTACACATTGGAGCCTTCAACGTACGTACCTTATGTCAAATTGACTAGCAGGTCTCCTTGGCTAAGACCCTAGGATCTCGTACCATTGGTGTATGCTGTTTCTCCGAAACACGCATACAGGATCCTAGCGTGGTAATTCGCTCGAACTCACTCAGCGAAAACAGGGAGCCAACGAGATACACCCTCCGTGTATCTGGCGACCTGACTGCAAGTTCTCGTAGATTGGTGAGAGTATGCGTAGCACTAAGTATGAGGGCAGAAAAACACTTCTATAATGGATCCCTGTTAACAGTCACCTATATACCGTTCGGCTAAATAGCCCAGACTTTAAGAACGATGGGCGGAACACTTTAGGGAGCATTTCAGGCGGCTTTCAGCTACTCTACGGATACCAAACATTTTCAAACGTCCTGAATGGAACATTGAAGTAGGTCCCCCAACTCTAGCTGAATTTGAAAAGGCTATAGCTAATCTGAGACGAGGTAGAGCAGCTGGTCCTGATGGACTGGCTCCAGAGATCTTTAAATATGGTGGTCTAATTTTAGCGATTAGGTTGACTAGTATTTTAGCTAAAATCTGGGAGTTGGATGTAATCCCATCCGACTGGTCACAATCACTGATTGTCCCAATATATAAGATGGGGTCAAAATCATCCTGTGATAACCACAGAGGGATTAGGTTGACTAATATAGGATCTAAAATACTAGCCTCAATAATTATTGGATGCCCAACTAAGAGTCGTGAACTGCAAACACGAGAAAATCAGTGTGGCTTCAGACCTGGTCGTGGCTGTATCAACCATATATTCACTATTCGTCAGGTTTTAGAACACAGGCATGATTATTGGCGTCCAACAATGATAGTTTTTCTTGACTTAAAAGCAGCATTTGACTCTAGACTGAAAGGCTCTGTCATTGAAGGGTGTACCTCGAAAGTACATAAACCTCGTGAAGGCTCTTTACTCAAACACTACTAATCGAGCGAGAGCTTATGGCGAACTGTCATCTGATTTTACAACCTCAAGTGGTGTCCGATAAGACTGTCCACTATTTCCATTTTTGTTCAATTACGTTATGGACCTGCTGGAAATAACGCTTTCGTCGACCGAATTTTCAGGGATTAATCTCCTACCAGGAGGTCCACTTATCAACTTAGAATACGCAGATGACATAGTCCTGTTTGTTGAAGAAGCTGATAAAATATAGAGTGTTTTGGTAGCGCTGAGCAACAATGCCAGGATGTTTGGGATACGTTTCTCTCCCTTAAAATGCAAATTGTTGTTTTAAGACTGGCTTGGGTCAACGCCTGGACGAATGATAGTGATGAATTGTTTGAGCGCGCTGGCCACTACTTTTATCTTTGAAGTCTCATTAAACCTGGCAGACTGGTGTCTGACGAAATCCCAACACAAATTCCGAAGACCTTGTCAGGGTTTACCAAGTTCCATCACTTAAGGTACAGGTAAGATGTCCAGCTGAAGAGGAAATTAGGAAAAGACGTTGGAAGTGGATCGGACATACATTGAGGAAATCACCAATGTGCATCACGACTCAATCCCTAACT